AAACACTTTTTACCAGTGGCTCTAAAACTTTTTAAAATATATTCTACTTAGATGGAGTAAGATAACCCAGCTCATTTACTTCACTGTCCCAGTGGTAAATGCACAGATACAGAGGCTCTATATATTTAAACACAGCATGGAAGAAATGAGTGAAATCAAGAAAGAATATGAGAAGTTTAGAAAAAAAATTATAATTCATTCATTTTAATGTAGTCAATTTTGACAAAATTGACGAATTAATCTCCTTAATATACTAATACTTAGACCTTAATTTTATGCAAACAAAAAGAGGGAGCTGCAAATCATTTCTCCATTTAAAAAAAAGGCATCCGTTTTGTAAGTCTGGGACCCATTTTATAAAAAAAAGGCCAACCACCTCTGATGGTACACCGGCTATACTTCAACAACCACTGCCTGACAGCATGCCTGACTTCTATACACACCTGTCTACCTAAAGATATCAGCATATGCAAGCACCTTCTAAACCAGAACAACTATTTTTTGGTAGCAGATCCTCCTCTCCAGAAAAAAATGCACATACATGCACATACACAATTCTACACAACATTTCAGAGAGCTCACAGACATCTGGATCTCAACTTTTCTAAATCTCAGGGGCAAGCCAAAGAGGGTTCATGCAGCAACCACTCCCACCCTATTGACTCAACAAGGTACAGTGATTACCTTCAGTCTATCAGAGTTTACACTTAATATCTGTAAGAATAGTCATATTTTTAATATGTACACAAGTGTACATCTTTTTAAATGTAATACAAATTCCTATAAAAATATTCCTTTCGCCACTTCTTGAATTTATTCTCTACTGTGATCAATCTGGTTTAGAGAGGGTTTTGCCTAAAATACTACCAAATCCTTAAAATTTATAGTAGAAAGACTAAATTTATCTCAAGATAATGGTTTGGAATTAACAAAGATCTTCAAGGTCAAGCAATATATAGTTACAGCATAGTTTCACTGAATTGATTTGATTTTCGGTAGTCTCAAGAATTTCACTACTTCTAGTCTAAGTAATGGCAAAGTAGAAGAATGAGCCAAACAGAGAATTTCATTAGACTCTGGTCTACCCCTTCTTTGAAAGGATACTGGCAAATTATTTAAATTCTTATAGGACTTAAGTTTACTGCCAGTAATACATGACAATTGTATCTACCAAAGATTAAATGCATGCAGATTACCTAATGTGACTGAGCCACAATGTTAAGTCATAGTCACTTGCCAGAATGATCAGCATATCCCATAGCCTAGCTCCCAACGTCCTCCCTGAGCAGAGTGGCGCATGAAGCTGCTATTCCTTTCATAGATTTCAGTTAGTACTCAACTAGTTTCAGTTAGTATTTCAACCTCCGTTACGATATTTCAAAGCCCCAAATTTAACAACAAAATATCCAGTACATTAGCATCACTGTCTGACTTCCTCACTCCCCACTCTAATGGTTGCATTAATCATTTCAAAACAATGTATTAAGCTAGAAAATCAGTATTTATAATCAATACCCACTCTGAACACAGATATCAAGGAACCATGCCAGGGCTCAGGGTCCATAAAGACAAGGAGCCGCGATACCTAGACATGCGCACTGGCTTAACCAGAAATGAGAGAAAACTGCATTTTATGTTTAGTGTCAGCCTAGAAGGTTTCATGTTTTGCTTATGAAACTGCTACTCACTAGAAAGAAATGCCAAGAAAAGAGAAAAAGAACAATCTTTTTCTTCTTTCCCTAGACAGATTAAGTCTCGACTTATCTTGAATAAGAAAAATGTATCTCTTGGATATCCTGGAAAGATTCACATTGCTCATCATGATTTTAACTGGCAAACTTCCCTGTGGAAAAAAAAGAATTCATCTACAAACTCATCTCTATCACTGACTGCTTCTTTATGCCTACCCTGTAACAATGTGGAAATGTGGACCCAAACTTACTCTGGTAGTACATACAGTCGAGTAACTTTTTCTCTTGCGTGGGTGGCACGGAAGAAAGCCAGTTATACAAATCTGCTCAAAACCAACTCTATAACTTGGGTCATCAGCTGTCCTCAATAAATTTGGGGGACCAGTATTAAACAGACAAAAACTTCTCTCCTTCCAAAAAACTTAACACAAACCTTGTGTTTATGAAAAACAGAGGTAACGATGGCAATATTTATATTCTGGTCCCAACAGAGGTGCAGTGACACTGGCTTTGGGGAAAGTTATTAAGTGACGTTGTAAATTTCCTTTTTCCCCTCTCTCCCACTTGTGGCTTCTAGGATACTCCTTTCATGCCACTGTGACAGTTATGAATGTGCTTTGATGATCTTTTACATAAAAACAAAGTCAATAAAGTATTAGTCAGTCTATTAATAACCGATCACCAAAAGAATTTTTTTTGAAAAGCTAAATACGTGTTAAATATGCCAAAAACTTATTTGGGTAAATTCTACTTTTCACTGCCAATCTGAAAAAAAGTTCAATAAGTTAGAAATACCTAGGTGTTTTCATATTGTGGTTAGAAATACCTCCAATAAATGGTCAATTTCATACTTAAGAATAAATAAAAACCACTGGTACTATCCCTTTAAAAGTCAAAAATGTGACAAAAACACCTACTAGTCCCATTTTCTAATACTGTTCTTTCATTTTTAGTCTAGAGATATGCACAGAAGAGGCAGTGGTGGGAGATCTAATACAATGAAACAGGAAAAAAGACAGAAAACAGACAAAAAATATCTTTACTGAGACACACAAAAGGCTTAAAACAAGACAAGAGATAACATGATAATGGATGAGAGGATCCAGTGTAGAATTGTAGAATATATAAGTTCTTCCAATATTGATTTATAAATTCAAGAATTTTTAAATAGATTATCAACTAATTGGAGAAAGTATAAACTATGTAACTGCACATAAATACCAATACACCAATAAAACATAGCACAAAATAGGAATTTGCAATGCATAAAAAGCTTATACTATTAATCAAGTACAAATTAAAATGAGACAGCTCTCCTGATTATCAAATTGGAAAATGTGTAAAAAAAAGACTCAAGTCAACAAAATAGGTACTCATAACCTTTGACTCAGTTATTGTAAGAACATCAAAGCAGTACCCAAATGTTTATATGAAAAATTATTCATTAGTGTTATAAGCAATAGCACCAAAATGAAGATAACATAATTGAGATTGGTTCAATAAATCTGAAACACTCATATATAATGGAACACTGATATGCAGCTATTAGAAATTGCATTTTCATGAGATGGAAAAATTTTCATAATAACAGGCATCAATTTGTAAAATGTAATAAACCAATGTATCTTTTTGTATATGTACATTTATAAAAGGGACTATGAAGAAATGCACACTACATACTGCAAGGAAATACAAATTATACACTACAAATACAGATATACACATCAAGGAAAATACATTGAATCGTTTTCAGCGAAAATGTCTATTGAGATCACAAACAATACTTATGTTCTTCTGTATGTTTATACAGTTTTTTTCTTTTTTCAATAAAAGCATGACTTCTATATTCAGGAAATAAATGCTCCATCAAAACGAGAATCTAAATTTTAAGTTTCTGTTCTGAATTCTCCAGTGCTTATACACTCAGAATATAACTTTAATTAGAATGATGTTTTTAATAAGAACTATAAAATGTATAAGTGTTACAAATATCTGAAATAACTGTTTATGACGATAATTCCACTCTTGTAAGTAGCACTGATGTGTCAGGAACGCATGAAGTAAGTAATAGCCATAGCTCAAAATAAAAAGAACAATTGAGGCACACACACACACACACACACACAAAATCAATGGAAGGAATCAAAGCTAATCAACCCAGAATATCCTTTCAGACCTAGCTTTTATTTTAGTTTTGAAAGTAACAAATCTGATAGTTTACTATGTAGCAACTTTATGTTTAAGTGGCCTCTTTCACATAGGCATATATATGCATGTATATATAGGTACACAAACAAAAAATATTTAAAGTTAAATAGTTTTCTATAAATAATCATTACTTTCAAAATAAACAAGGACTCCAAGAATTTAAATAAAGAATATAAATTTGGAGAAACTGACCTCAATACATGCAGTTACCATTAGCTATAATGAAAAACTGTTCTGTATTATTTCAATGCTAAATAAGCAGTGGACTATAAAACAAACTCTCAGACATTTAAAACATCACTTAAGCAAATTCTGACTTTAGAACACTTAAAAAGAATATCAACATGATTTAATTAATTATAGCGATTTAAATGTTCACCTTATAGAAACTAACCTTATCAAATAAAACAAAATGAATAAAAATCCTAACAACATTCAGGACAGAATACAACTCCAAAACTGCTGTTTTTATTAACCATACAATTTTCTAATTGTAACAGCTAACTACAATCCAACATATGAAAATTAGCACATGAGAATGAGATTCAGTACTTAACAACTATAATTTTGTTTAAAACACTGACACAGTATAGATCTACACAAAACAAGCTGTCTCTTAAGGTGAGTAAGAATCCAAATACAGGATACTCTCTCACTTGTAGGATATAAGACTTACTATTCCTGAGACTAAGCAACCAAAATATTTTTCAAAACAAAATGCTTCAGATAATTCCCACCACCTTTAACAGCATTTTTCTGATCATTACAACAGGGAATACGCTCTTTTAGGTGACAAGAACCTTTTAATAACCTACATCCCTTAATTTCCTCTTTATCAATGAGAAAATTCTCGGAGCTGAGGTACCCTGCAAATCAAGGCCTGGGGAAGCCATAAAACACCTTGTCTAAAGTATAACCAGCGAGCAGCAGCAATAGCAACTATTCAAATCCAGAAACTGGGACCCAATCCTTCCTAATTAGCACAGTAATTCTGCATAAGCAACAGACAGAATCGAGAAGGATTCTCCCTGAAAAACTGAAGAGTAAAAAGAGAAGACAGACAGACCTAAGGTGTCTGATCATACTAATATTGGTACTTACGTATCATACCTCTGCAATGGTGTCACTTTGTTCTTATTCTTATCGACTGAACCCGTAGATAGTTGAAGAAAATTGGGATTTAATTTATATAATTCTTGAAGTAGCTTCTGTTCATATTCTTGGTGTTTACCCGCCTAATAGAAGAAGAAATTAAAACTGCAGTGGGGTTCACAAAATGGTTGGTATAAAATACTGAACTACTCTGAGTTATGAAAGATAACTAAATAAAACATGTAAGGGTTTTTCATAGCATCAGAGAAACCTATGAGGATGATGTCATAAGACTTTTAGACCAAAGAAAAGTTCTTCCAACAAATCTACATGACATTTACTCCTTTAACCACTTCAATGTGCAGAAGAGCATACTGAAAAAACTTTCGTAGCTCAAAACAGAGGGTCTCTTTTAAACCTACTTCTGCTTCTTTTAGATAGTGTATCTTTTAATTTTTCATATTCTGAAAGTCATTCAAAAATCAGTCTTTTAAAAAAAATGTATTAACACAAATAATATGCAGATAACAAATCAATAATTCTATCTATATATTTCATTATCTTGACACTAAGTAAAAATTCCATTAATTTGTATATCCATGAAAGTTAGTATATTTTAAGTTCTTGATCAGGAGTGGCAATGAATAGCCAGCCATTTTGTCTTTATAAATAAATTTTTATTGGAACAGTCCATTCCTTCATTTGTATGTTATCTCTATGGTTGCTTTCATGCTGCAAGAAAAGCTACACTATATAATAAATAGAACTCTGCATTTGGATAGTAGTATATCAGAAGGTTATATCACAAATGTAATAGAACTATGTAACGACTAACAAATTGATTTTGAATAATTTTTTATTATTTCCATGTATATCATGACTAGGTTAACACTTTAACTTACCTTCAGGATATTAATTACTTTAATAATGTGGTCTAAATACTTGTTATGGGAAAACCAAAACAAACTAAAATAGTAAGAACAAGCAAGGTAGCATTATTTAATCAAGCACAACTGTATCATATGTACTGCACAATGCATCGTTCCCTGTTCTGAGAGGGCTCCTGTGTTTCAACAGGGTCTACAAATATTTCATATAGGACTCATTTTGAGTTATGTGGTTACAAAGAAAGTTTCTGACTTTTGCCTTGACATAATTTGAAATATAACAAAGAAACCCCTTTCAAAGTAGATTTAAACTCAAGAAGAGCAAGAATAATTCAGGACAACAACATGAAATGAATATTAAATCATTAAGAAAAACACAAATTGATTTGGATTTCAAATCTCAAAAATTTGAAAAGCCTGGAATTCTTTTCTGTAATCAATACTTGAGATATTGTGGCTTTCCTGAGCCACAAAGAGCTCACAGTTACATTCAAGTGATTCTACGGGGGCAGTTCATAGCAAAAGGCTAAATTCCATTATAACTTCCAAGGGGCTATGTCTTTAATTAGTGTCCAATACCACTTACATATGAGGTCAAATGGGGCTTGGAATTATTTTTTAAAGAGTTTCCTTATACTTTAAGTAAACCACATTTCACCCAAGAAACTGTCACCCACCCCCCCCCCAAAAAAAAAGGAAAAAAACCAAGATACTGGCTAAGTATTTACTGGATAGATAATTTAAAGGTTAAGTAAGAAACAAGTAGGTTGTCTGTCTCCATTAAACATCAGAGACCTAATGTTACCACTGTTTATGGACCATAAAGGTGACACCGTCAAGACATTACAAAAGTATTTATTATAATGAGATTTAATCTCTAGTAACTCCAAGTCAAAAAAAAAAAAAGTATTTCTTTTATTTAACAATCTGTGCTTAAAGGAGCCCCTACCAGACTTCCTCTAGTTTGACCTGGAGAATGAAAGGTAGCAATCAATGCCCCCCACCTTCTAAATGAGAAGTATTCCTGCAAAAGTCCACAGCAACAATCTGAAGTCCTCATCTATAATAGGGAAGTACAGCATTGTGCTTTGGTATAATCCTCATTTAATATGCCGTATGGTCAACATTTTTACTTGTAAAGGCATGTTTATACTACAAATTGAAAGGAGACAGAAGAAGAGGAAATGTAAAAAAGAACACAGGATAATAAGCCTTCAATTCACTCTTTACAGGATAGGGACTTATGGTTCACTTTCACAGGGAAATTACTGGATGAAAATGTTAGCTTATCTGTAAATCTGATGAGATTATTTTCTAGTACACTCTGTAAAGAGGAGAGATGGGAAAACAACTCATAATTACAGTATCCCACATAGGCTTCATTTTCCTGACATTACCCTAAAAGTAGCATTTCCCAAAGTGCTTTTCTTGGTATATACCACCCTCTTAGGATGTAGAAGCATGTTAAATATCTGGGAAAATCCTACAGGACAATAACCTATACACCTTCATTTAGCTAGCATTTTGTGACAGTGTACCACAGACCCATTTTTATTATAGCATCCTGAAGAAGTGACATTCCATGTAACACTAGAAAAATGCTACTTTAAAGTAATGCCAGTTGAGAAAAAAATAAAATCACTAGCTTTGGCTTTTGCAATTTTAACTTATAAAGGAAAATACTCCCTTTTCTGCAAAGTTGATAATTCAGTTACTTTACTACCTGCATTTCCTCTTTCGTGAAGCTGGCTGCCTCATCCCCCAATTCATGTAGATACATGCAGTCAGGTTTGGGACACTGCATATTCTTTAAGAAGTAACTGCAGTATTTTGTTGTACCTAGAGATGCCTGCAGGAAAAAAAAAAAAAAAAACAGAAGAGGGAAAGGACCCAAAATGTGAAATGACACAATGAGAATTTCCATGTGTTTTCACTAAAAATGAGGCACAAACACAACAAAGCAAGTATGGCTGAGAACTAAATGATTACTAAACAGAATTAATTAAAGGCTATTCTCATTTGAAAGAACTAAAGTAAACCTCTCATTCTATAGTTTCCCTGTATTTGAGCACCCAAATCTTACCCTCTAGAGAGCAGAACATAAAATCCTATTCCATGTTGGAAGTGGTTAGGCACATAATAAGGAAAATTCCTTTTTTTAAAAAGAAAGATTTATTTATTTGTGCATGCAGGCCAGAGGTACAGGGACAGCAAGAGGATCCACCAGAGACACAGTGAAGAGCAGAACAGACAGATTTATGAAGTGTACTGCTGAGGGGAGCAGCAGGCAGGACAGCAGAGATCCGTCGCGCCATGTGAGTCACCTCCCTTGCTGGGGATCAAACTTTGCTGCAGTGGCTGTTAGCTTCATAGTGCTGTGCTTTAACCTGCTGTACCACCAGGGAGGGCCAGGAAAATTCCTCTCTTTTATCAGGCTATCCTTCTAGCATTTACATAAAACACTGCTTTGAGAGATCATTCACTTAAATCTGCACAGATCAATGTCTAAGTTTTTAAGGACAACAAATCTGAATCCTTATTTATTGCTGGTGAGAATAACATCCATTTTCACATACTATATAAACATAGGATATTTTTATGTATCTTCCCCTGATAAAATGCCTACCCCTACTTAAGCAGGAAATTACATAAGTCAGCAGTAAACGAGTTAGCTATCATAGGTTGGCATGAGGGCCTAAGAAGGAGTCTTCCAATATCTCCCTTCAAAAGAGTTTATAAATGCTAAGTTCATATCTACTTATTACATCTTATCCCTTCTCCCCAAAAAATAAAAAATAAAAAATCAAGAGGCCCATGTTACCTTAAGTGTTCTGCCATCTACCACCACATTGTTGACACACTGTATGGCTCTGAGAGCATCTTCTGATCGGATATAAGTTACATAAGCACTGGCACTTGGACCCTAAAGTAAAAACCCACTGTGATTAGTTTCAAATTAAATGAAAACTTAAAAGAAGAAATTCACTTGCAATCTGCCTAGAAAATGCAAACGGCCTTTACGACTACTATCATTTAAAAAGGGACAATAATTAGAGGTAGTAGTAGCTTTGAGTAAACTTACTTTAAAAATAATCATGCTTAACAAATTTTACCTCATTTTTAAGTAGACTAAAATATATTCAATCTTTCTTTTTGAAAAAGCTATTTGACAAGCTCATCAATGTTACAAAAAACAGCTTTGAAATTTAAATTTAAAAAAATTAGGCTTGTGTTAAACTATGCTCTACCAAAAATAAATACAATGTGCTAAAGTATACTCTCTGCTAATACAAGCACAACAAACATGCTCTTACATATCTAAAAATATTAGACACAATTACAGAATTGTAGGACTACTTCCCACCCTCCATTCAAACCATCACAAAATCTTGGCTTTATTATTTCCGTCTTACTAAGTACTAGAGCAATTGAGCACCAAAAATTCCCGCATCCCACCAACAGGGGTGACTACACGGCATAAATCCTTAACCCTCAAGCTCTCTAATCACAGTAAAATTTTCTTCCCAACAGTCCAGGTCAAGCCCAGTCGTAACAGAAAAGGCAAAAGGCCCTAAAATTAGTTACCTGTGAGCCTGCATATGATGTGCTATTATTGATGACAACTTTATGTATTTTACCAAACTTCCCAAAATATTCTGGTCGTTTTAAAACCTATAAAAGAAGAAATAAGGTATAATCAGCCCCCAATTTCACTTTTATCATTATAATGGGGACATTCATCATCCCTCTTTAGTAAAAGGAAAAGCAAAATTTTTAAAGTTTTCTAATAAATATGACTTCCTAGTTATATTTCTGTGGTCAATCTACAGGAAATCATCAACAGTTTAAAAACTATTCTTTATTAACCCACTGAACAGAACTAAGACTCATTATATTTGGAATTATCTACCATACCAGGTCCTAATATCTGTGAGATCAATCATCTATGAGATCTTACCTTCTTACATATATACAGGCCAAAGATTTTAACCACATTTTCATGAGCAGATAATCCTAACAACAAAGTAATTCTCACAACATTTACCAAACTTATGTATTAAAGACAGAGACAAAATTTCAAAACAGGCAGTAGAGTCAGTCTTTACTCATAAATCTATTATATATATAAAAGAGCTACACAGAAACATTTAGGTTACAATTACAGTTTTCATAAAGTGCCCCTGATTATCTCTGCTTTATTATCAATCACTGTGCATGGACAGAGAGACATACACTCACTTAATTTTCTTAAGTCAATCAATTTTACCATTTCTCCACTGTCATCTGTTGCTTTTGTTTCTCTTTTTTTACCTGGTAAATAATTCATCAGATAATGGGAGGAAGAAAACATTTGGGGAACAAATTTGTATGTTTCTTTCTCTATCACCTGGTGCTACTAGGTGATTGTTATCTGTGTCACCTCCTTAACTTTGGGATCAGTCTAAGCATTAACTTACACAACCTCAGCCAATCAGGCCAGCATACTACCTGATAGAAAAACTTCTCCCACGATATATAACTGAGTCAAAATTAAATTTTGTTCTTGTTGTAGAATTTACCAATAGTCCTTCTGTTCCTATAATCCCCTCTTCAATGAAAAGCTTACTCCATGGACCTGTTTAAGTGTGTGCAAAGTTATCCTTTCCACACATATTTACTCAGTAGTAATCTCAGATTCTCACAATTTAATTAATATGTTCTGGCAGAATCAAATTTTTATGAATAGTCTATGACTGGATGTCATAATGCTCAACAGTTTTTAATTTAATTTCACTTCAGGTCCTTCTAGCTGTACAGGCATTAATATTTTTGACAACTGTAATGGATTAGAATGTGAAGTGATTACACTCTCTGATTTTCAATCTTTTTTCCACCCAAATCCCGAGTCATGGCAGGAATTGTGGACAAACGTTGCTGACATTCAAGTTCCAGGGAAGAGTATACTCTGCAAAGCTTCCTGGCAGGTGGTGTGTGGAACAGGTGTTCACTATTCAGTTGGAGGCATACCAACTCAGCTGAGAGACCTACACACCAAAATACCTGCTTCAAAGAATTCAGGCTGGCCACAGGTTATGCTGCATCTATATCTCATATCACATGAGTTTACAGAAGTGCTCAATGAAGAGAGCACTCAAAGGAACACTTTGGTAATTTGTGAGAGGCACTATTGAAGGAGATTACTAAAGTGATTATATTGGTAGTCAGTGGGTGGAACCTGGGTGGCTTACAAAGCTCAGTGTAGTCCTATACACAACTTTGCAACATCTTGCAAGACATTCACATCACTGAGAAGCCTGTTTGTAATTAGGTGAACCTAGACAGAAACTCCACATTATATATAAACATGAAGTATTTTCCCACAGATTTGAAAAACGAAATCAAAAAAAAACAAAAAACAAAGAAATAAGGAAGACTACAAGTGCTTTATTTATTATTTCACTAAGTTGTTTCAGAAAAATCATTTCATGGTTCCTGAGTTGCCAGTACATACACCTGTAACAATCTGCATTTGTAGCTGTTACATTTACAGTAATTCTATAAACAGATGGGAGCATCTGAATGTTTTATTATGCACTGAAAAACAGTACTTCACACACTTGTATATGTGTACAAATCATTTGAGAATCTACTTAAAATGCACATTAGGAGCCACTGACTCTGAGGCAGGCCCAAGAGTTTGCATAATAAGTTCCCAGGTGACATACTAAGCTACTGGCCAGCGTCACATCTTGCTTAGCAAGGTTCTACAGTAGCATTATCCAAGTATTTACATGTGAAAACAGTCTACTTATAATTAATGATCTTTTATTTTTTCCCAAGTTATGTATGTAGACAGATTATATTATCAAGTCTTTTCATGAGAGTCATTGGGTGTCATCATATATTATTTTAAAAGATTGTATTGAATCTGAGAAAGTTAAAGACACCACTGCCTTATGGAAAGTTTCTCACCAGTATCTGGGTACAACATTTTCACAAAATTGTAAGATTTGCATATTATTATAGTGATGTGTCACACTGCAGTCAGAATATTTTCAAAGTACAAATTCTAGTCATGTCACACTGTTCTTAAGAACACTTGATAGCTTCCTACTGCCTTTAGGATTAAGCGCAAACTCTTTAGCATAGTTAGAAAGCCCTTTATCACCCATTACCACTTACCTCATCAGCCTCATCTCTCACCATTGCAGCTAATTTTCCAGTCAAACAAATCACTTGCAGATCAAGTTCTTTTTTCATCCCACAGCAGATGTATAGTTTCCATGCCAGGAGCACTTTACCCCAAAACAGCAAAGGGCTACCTAATAACTACCCCCAAAAGTCAGGCGCTCTCTGTACCTCCAAAGCACAGAGCACTCTAGTATAGTGCTTATTTTGTAAATAAACAGGGACGACTTGTTACTGGTGCATGCTAAGTGTCTCACATAGTGCCTGCAGTACATAGTAAGTGGTTATTAAAAACCTTCAGTGTCTTAGATCTGAACAAAGAGAATTGCATGGGTATAGAACACTACTGAATCTCAACTTACTAGCAAATAATCTATGGTTTTAAAAAATGGCCTGCCCAGTAAAAGGAAGTTCAAAAAATTTTAATTTGCTATATTAAGTCGAACATTTCTGATTCTGCCCAAACCTAACAACAGCCAATTGGCCAAAAGCACACGGCAACAGGTGGCCCACTGTGCATCACCATGTGTACCCACATATCCAACATCAGGTATTCACTTCATAGTAAGCCGGCTTCAGTACTAACATAGAATGCAAAAGGCCCTACGACAAAATTATAAATGTCCAATGACACTTCTAAGATATAAAAGATATAAAATGTCGGAACAGTCAAGTGCCCACGAATATATCAGAGAAAAATAAAAACTGATAATACATGGATGGACAATAGGTAATTAGGTACACAGATGAATGACAGGCCAATTCATCAGCAAAATACTCCGGAACAGACACGTTAATTACTGGAGGCTTATTAGTCGTGGATAAACTACGAAATAGCTATATGATCATTAAGGAAGTCACTTACCTTCCCTATGCACAGTTTCCCGTTTATAAAATTAAATGAAATACAAAAATTGTCTTCCCACTAGTCTGAAAACTTAAAAGTAGAGTCTACTGGCTAAACAATCATATTTCCAATATCAAAGGACTTAACACAAAGTAATTTTTGAAGGGCTAATCTGCAAATAAATTAGGGTCATACAAATTTAAAATTGTAGGACTTGGGTGACCATCATTATTGCTAACTATAGCATGTCTTCCAATATAGTTTTTCTGTTGATCAATAAATAATCTGCAACATATCTTAGTATGAATTTTACTGATATACAAAAGCTATTTACAAAATACACTTTGAAAATGTGGGCTTTCAACAGAAATGAAAGAAACCAATGTTTAAAAAAATCACTGTCCTCTCATCAAGCAATGACGCTTTTGCAGAAGTGTTACTAACCAGTCAAGGGATCTTTTTTTTTTTCTCCAGGTACATTTAGACTTATAATAAAGTATTCTCTCTCACTAGTTCCACCTAGGTTAATTTCTTTCTGCGTAAGAGTTCTGAGATTAATGTTACTGGAGTCATGTTACTTGAAGTAGAAATAAATCTCTTGTCAGCAACTAAAAACAAATCAGATTCTAAAGAAGAGGTAAGGAAACCGACAATCCAAACATCAGATTGAGACCACGGCTTCATCTCAGCCAGGCCTCAGGCACTGTTCAGTATGCTGCCGGTACCACAGCTGACTGGACCCAGGGTATAATGAACAAAATCAAGTACAACCATATTGAAGCATTCTCAAATCAAGTAAAAGTTCCATTGGTTTACTTAAGCAGCCATTTCAGAAATGCAAAAGTAGAAAGATTCTAATCAATAAGATTAGGAGTAATTAAAGGCAGATAAAAAAAAAACTTGCAGAGGCAAGTGCCCACTGGTTAGAAAAACAGCAGTGTTGAAAGAGGGAGACAGAGTGGCTAGTGATGGAAAAGTGGTTAGTGCTCAAGGAAAAGAACATGGGCGATCTGGGATTCTGCTTAACTGGCCCACATTCTTGCTAGAAAAAGGGAAATTAGCTGCTTAGGCTGAGCTAAAGTAAACTGTCTCCTTAACGTCTTCCACTGAATAAGTTTTTCCTACCTCTTTGGAAGACCCTGATCTCCTAAAGATCATGTTGCCCACTAATGCCAGCATCCCCTGACCTAGGATGGTCAAGAATTCTTAAGCTCCGTATTTATTGCTATGATAAGAGAGAACTCCTGATCTTTTTCTCTACTAATTGTGAAGTCCTTTATTGCCTTAATGATGTAAACTCATCATCAAGAATTATCTATATTCTCTCCAAATAAATTTTTACAAAATTTATTTTTAGACATAATTTTTTCCTTCTAGGGTCTTTGGTACACTTAGCCGAGTACAGAAAGTCCCACCTTCCTAAGACATTCATTGCAATCTTCCTTCTGATTGGTATCATGGCAAGAATTGCCTTATGTTCTTTTTAAGGAGTCCCTTCAACAGATCCCCAAATTCCTCTGTCTTACTGCAGTAAACACTCTGGAAGTCAATCAGTTTCTATCTGCTTCGCTGTCAATCTAGTCAGCACTTTTTGGTATTTCAGAAATTTAACACTAGCAGATATGCATCCATGGGCATCGCGGAAAGTTAGGAGTGCACAACCACTCTCGTAAGGGTTAAGGACCCCTGACCGCCCCAAGCCTCCATCACAAGTGGAAAAGATTAGGAGCCTAACTCAGAAGCCTTTATCATGGGCAATAAACGTGGAGAAAGCAGGTTCTTTCCAAAGAAGTAGGAAAAGACTTCAATGAAAGATGTTAAGGAGAGAGTTCACTTCAGCTAGCTCATTATTTTACTTCATCAAATTCTCCCTCCCTCCCCACAACAGGTTTAAAATTAATAATAAAACAGTAGAGCAGCAGTTTTAAAACCATTTTACAACCAAGAATTACCACTTGGGAAGAATAAAAATACAGGTCATTAATCTCTCTAGAGGGCTCTGGTGACTGCAGTGCCACTGTTGGCCCTTACATAGAAAGCAACGAGGAAAAAGGAAAGACAGAGTAGGCATGTCACATGGAGCCTTAAACAACAGCTCCATTACACACTTGTCACAGAGTTAGCACTGACGGAGACTTTAGCAATATAGTTCAATCACAGTTTTACAACAAAAGAAAATGAGGCCAAGAAATACTAAGAGACTTGCCTAAAATTACATCCAGTCACAGATTTCTTAGTATTAAAAACTCATTTCCCAGGTTCTCCTATATTTTAGTGTTTTCAGGGGATTCCCATGGCTGGGCAGTGCCCCCGGTTATTTCCCGGTTATAAGCAAATAGAGAAATGTCCATGTTGAAAAAAAAAAAAGAAATGGACTTACCTCTGGGTCGGCTAGACGCTGAGACAGACCTACAACAAAGACGAGGTTTTTTTGTACAACGCGCACACTAGCCAAATGTTTGCGATTTTCTGATATTTTCTGTTTTCTTTCATTTTGTTTCTGTTTCTTCTCATTCTTTATCCTTTGCAGTTCTTCCTGGGAGAGTGGTTTGTAAACTGCTGGGTCTTCTGGATATGGCTTTAAATATAAAGCAAACATTAAAAGAAGTTAGCCTTCAATAAATGACTATACAAATAACAAGTATCAAATTCTAAGTTATGGTTGTATGGTATATTATCATTCTAACTCTTTCAATTGTTTAAAATATTTTTTATTTTATTGTCTAAATAATTCAGACAAGTTGTTTAAATACTTTTTTTAGTGTAGCACAGACAACTGTTAGTGCTAAAAAATAAAATGCCACCAAAAGTGGCCCTCCCTGGCGGCGCAGCAGGTTAAAGCACAGCACTAAGAAGCTAAAGCCACTTCCGCATGAGTTCAATCTCCGCCTCGGAGCTGATCCACATGGCACAGCAGACCTCTCCTGACTTGCCTGCTGCTCCACTCAGCAGTGTACTTGGCCAGCTGGCATGTTTTGCTCCCCACTCTGTCCCTGGTGAGTCTTCTCACCACCTCTGTACCTTTGGCCTGTACCCCAGTTCTGTATGCATAAATAAATAAATAAATAAATCTTTTTTTTTTTTTAATGCCACCAAAAGTTCTAAAGTAACAAAACAATTGTGGTATTCCCTACAGTACCTAGCACACAATTTACAGGAAAATTATGGTTCTATGGTACTACGGAAGAAGCAAAGAGTATAAATTCTGTCATCTAAATATGGATGTAGATATTATTATAATTAGCAAGTATTTAATAAAATCTATTCGTGAAAAGATTAATGAAGTTAAAGAGCTGAGTTTTAATGTATTCCCAATTAAAAAAGAAGAAGAAGAAGAAGACAGAAGACAAATAAGTAATAATACACACTGGCTAGGAGTTTGAATCTGGTTTCAGCACTTAACAGCCATGTGGCCAGAGGCAAGATACTTAAACCCTATACCTTAGTATCATCATATATAAAATGAAGATCATTGTAAATGAAGGGTGTAAAAATACAATAACCCTCAGAAAGCAACTACTGCTGTCTAATCCTTCAATGGATACCAGCAACCAGTTTTAATTTTATTCTGTGCTCATCGTTACTTTATTATTTTTATTTCTACTGCTAATGCCAAGGCTACTGGTGTCCTGAATAAGAGTTAAGGAGCCAGAATGTCTGACTTTGACTCCTGGCTCCTTTTTTACTCCCTGAAAGACTTTGACTAAGTTTTGTAACCTAACTGCCTAAGTCTTCTCTTCTGACAAATGGGTGTTACAGAAACTTACTTTCTATGAAAGTTAAAAGATACAATGCATTTAAAAACTGATTAAGGCCCTCCCTGGTGGCACAGTGGGTTAAAGCACAGCACTAAGAAGCTAAAGCCACTTCCACATGAGTTCGATCCCCACCTGCCCCAGAGGTGAGCACATGGTGAGACAGACCTCTCCTGACCCCCCCACTGCTCTCGTCAGCAGTGTATTTTGTTGATATGCCTGCTCTGCTCCCCACTGTCTCTGGTGAATCCTCTCACCATCCCTGTGCCTCTGCCCTGTACCCCAGTTCTGTATGCACATGTAAATAAATCTTTAAAAAAAAACTGATTAGGCCCTCCCTGGTGGCGCAGCGGGTTAAAGCACTGCACTAAGAAGCTTAAGCCACTTCCGCATGAGTTCGATCCCCGCCTGCCCCGGAGGTGACCACATGGCGTGGCAGACCTCTCCTGACCCGCCTGCTGCTCCCCTCAGCAGTGTACTTCGTCGATCTGCCTGTTCTGCTCCCCACTCTGTCCTTGGTGAATCCTCTCACCCTCCGCATCTCTGGCCTGTACCCGAGTTCTGTATGAATAAATTAAAAAAAAAAAAATCTTTAAAAAAAAAAAACTGATTAAAACTGTATTGCACACATAAGCTTCCAGTAAGCCAGTGGTTATTACTACTGATAAAAAAAAATAGTTAATGTTCAGTGGATGATGAACACTATACAGTAAAATCCCAGAAAAGGGACCCACAATCAGCTGGGAGAGTGTGTTTATCATAATAAGAAGTGGGTGCTCTCAGAAATTAGGCCATCAAAATAAAAACTAGTTATATCATGGTCTCTAAAATTTATTTGATTTACACCTTAAAAAATATGAATTATTTGGTTGATTGTTCTACCTGGCATATTCCATTAAGATTTATTAGTGATTGGGTTATAAAACACTTTACTTGGGCATCCCTGGTGGCACAAGGGGTTAAGTCGCAGCACTATGGAGCTACCTGCAAGCCACTGCCAGGGAGCCCCAGGACACAGCAGACCTCTCTTGTTTCACCCACTGCTCCCCTCAGAGTATACTTCAGTAGATATGCCTGTTTTGCCCCCCTCTGTCTCTGGTGATTCCTCCCACCCCCGCCCCACACTTCTGGACTGTACCCCACTTCTTGTACACATAAATAACTCAAATCTTTTTTTTTAATTGACTCAGTAATTTACCTGACTTTTGCATGATCTGAGGACTTTCTCCAGTACCAAATATAAAGTTAGTCAAACATTATAGGACCTCAGTGTTTGCTAAGTGTTTACCATGCTACTCTACAGAAATGGGAGATCTGGTGGTGCTAACTTTCTTTCTTTCTTTCTTTCTTTCTTTTTTTGAAATCTTATTTCAAAATATTCTAACATTTTAACTTGGGAAACAAGTGTTTGCAAATTTATTGTAAGTTCAATTCCTTAATCAGTGATGTTTCCTTTCCCATTTCAGTTTTCTTCTGATGATTCCTCTCAAACCTTTCTCTTCCACTCACTTTTCTGTATCTATATTCTTCCTTTCCAAATCTTATCTATCTTCCCCTGTGATTTTAATCACATGAAGCTATTTGGAGCTATAAGGGCACAAGCATGAAATGAACTACATACAAACCAACTAAAATACCTTTCCTGACTATCACTTACATTTTTCATTGGCACAAGGAAAACATTTTTCTCCTATGGGGTTTCTGGATAGCTCTTTTGGGAGTGCTTATCATGAAGTGCATTTGAAAGCTGTTGCCCTCCACTAACATCTATGGGCTAATAATCCAGTCCCCAAATGAATCAAGCATGCGGATTACTTCTAGTTCCATTTCAAATCGTGGTCCATGATAACAAAAATACAAAACTTGAGAATAAGCATTTGGAAACTTGTACCACAACTTAACACTGCCACAAATATTCAAGTGCTTCGATATGGACTGGGCAGAACAAGGTATCAGTCTGGTTGTTACTGAACGTAGGTGGCAGAGCATGTGACATGCATGGAACATGTGACATGAATGGAGCATCAAGCATGCGTGAGAGACCCTGTCAGGCCGCAACAGACTAGAGGGCGGGAGGGAGGGAGAAGTACTCAGACAAATTGGTTCTTCATTAGTTAGAGAAACAGTGATGAAACTTTTCTAGAACTCAAACTCTTCTGAAAACATGAGAGACATCGGGCAAGCACTCAAAGATATTTTTCTTTGCTTACATTCTCTGACACTGTAAAATCCTGACAAAAGATGACACAAAGTAAAATAAAAGCCAGAAATAAATGAATACACACACAGAGACGCACACACAAACTGATGAAGAATGACAAGCACCATAATAAGAACTCTCGTTAAGTATATTAGAGATGCAACACCATGGTTATCTTTTATTTTGCTATTCTGTCTTCTATTCTAGGATAACACAGTTCTAACAGGCTTCAATGTCAACTTTATTGGAAGATATGTTCTATTGTTACATTAACAAAAGGTATTAATGCAGGAGAATAATGAGACTAATTCTTCATGATTTACTCACCAAGTACCTTTTAAGGTATTGTTTCTTTAACTTAAAATAAGTTATAATACTAGCTTTTTTAATCTTATCAAATTTATGAAGCTGCATCTCCGACATTAGGGAGAATTAAATAAAGTTTTCAAGTATGTTTTATATTTGAAACATACTGACGCTAAACACAACAGCAAATTAGCCTTCATAAAACACTGGTTAAGTATACATTCTACAACATAGCCTCCACTGCTCACACACCACACAAATTCCTACTCTCTAAGCCTAATGACAGAAAATTAACAAAGTAATACAATGACATGAGGAAGGGAGGTAGACTAAAAATGGTAGGTGAAGAAATATAACTGCATAAAATAAGACCCACATAGCTAGTTAATAGTAATATTAAAAATGCACATATAGAAAAATAGCTTTTTTGACTGAAACACATGTCAACCATAATTTTCTAAATAAATACAGATTCAAATTGAAACTTACAAGTAGAAATTGTTTTTAAACACACTATTGTGTTTTATATATCAAACTAAAGATAGAGTACCTGCAGAGGTACTTTAATGTTTTACAAATTTAAAGTGGAAAACATTTCAATTGTGTTAATTTGGTCATTGCCAAACAACTGATTAACAGAGTTTATAGTATCTAATGTTTTTATATGTGCACTTAAGCTCCCATGTTTATTCCGTGTGTGTGTGTGTGTGTGTGTGTGTGTGTGTTTTCTGATGAGACTTGCAAAGAGTTTGCTGATCTTTTCAGAGAATTGCTCTAACATTTTCAGGATATCTACTTTTTCCCTATTTCACTAAAATACATTTCATCTCCATATCCACTGTCACAATGTTTGTTTTTTCCTTAACTTTGGTTTGTTAACTTGGGGAAAAGTTCATTTATTTTTGTTCTTCATCTTCAAATAAATGCATTTACAGCTTTAACCTTTCCTCTAAATACATTATTGGTCTCATTCCAGTGATTCTCAGAAACAGTGTTATAATTATTGAATTTAAGTAATTTTAATTTCCTTTTTTACTCAATAATTGCAGAGGACTATAATTTTTATTTTACAGGTGGGTAGTTTCTCCTTAAACCTTTTGCTGTTAACATCTAATTGTACTGTACTATTTTGAGGGCTTCTGATTTCCATTATGATAAGCTAATTAACCCTCTTGCATTACAAAAAAACTTATTTAAAAAACCAACATCTTTAAAAAAAAAAAAAAACAATGATATGCACTGGAGGAAGTCCCACATTAATTTTTGGATAAAAATAAAATTCTAAAGAGTTAAGTGGAAAATCTAAGTGACCACAAATGTAAGGAGGGATAGCAGTCAAAGACCAAGGATAACCTAAGGTAGAGAGTCTTTGGGCAGACCAACCCCATGTTAAGCAGAGACTAAGCTCACCCTCTGTTAGTCTCAGGATAACAACAAACTATAGAGAATTAACGAGGTAGGGAAAAAATCAAGAAGGAATAGAAGAAAAACATCCTTGAGAAGTTGTGGAAGCCAATCCTAAAGAACATTTGCATCTTACACTTGAGGCATCTCTCATGGTAATGCTTACTGGACCCACTAGAAACCTCATCAGAGCCTGTCCAGAGGAGGGTAAATCCACCTTGGGCCTACAAATAATACCCTTAATGACAAGTGTTGCGTAACAGGCATAGATAATCAAGCAAATAAAGAACAAGCACCAGAAGAAGCATTCCTCATAGGCTTCAGTAACTGGAATTATTAGATACAGATCTTAAAACAATATTATCTTCTTAAACAAACGTGAAAATATCTGCAGGGCATAAGAACTTATTTTTAAAATAATGCATCAATTATGAAAAAAGAACAAATGTTACTTCTTGAAATGGTAAACACAAAACAAAATGCAAAAGCTCTGGATATATGCAGCAGCAGAAAGGACCAGGAGAAAAAAATCCAATGTGAGAGAATTAGAAGAAATCATCCATTATGCACTAAGGAAACATCCACAAAACACCAAAACAGGTTAAGAGACATGGAAGACAGAGAAATATATTTAATCAGATCACAGAAGGAAAGGAAAGAGACTAAAGCCAGCAGTTGAAAGCTAATAGCTAAATCTTTTCCACATCTAAAAAATCTCACCAATACAGATTCAAGAAACTCTATTAACTCCAATCAGGTTTTAAAAACAACTAACACACACAACCGAATCCTCCTTTTTGGAAATGTCTGGTAATTTCTATTGCGGCTTGTCAATTTTTGTGACCACTACACTTGTATTTTAAAGCGCCATACAACTTACTTTTACAAAAGTGTGTGCATGTACACACACATGTACTTTTACAAAAGTGTGTACACATGTACACACACATGCTTGTGTGTCACTCAAAAATGCTTTGCTCAAGTTGTCTATATTTTAAATTGTGTATTCTAAACATAAAGTCTGAAACTTGTCCATTATGAATTGCATGCTCTGGTATTTTTATCAACTTAATATATCTCAAAGTTCTTTTATAAAGTAAACATTCGCAACTTAGGAAAGAAATACTCTTTACCCTTTAAATGTTTGACCTTGAATTTAATCATGGTTAAATATCAGAAGTCTATTATACATTCTTTCCCATGATTTCCATTTGTCCACTATATCTACCTTTACCCCCCACTTTCACCAATATTTTTGTTTCCAAATGGTTCTACGTGATTTATTAGAAGGAAAAGGCAGCTTCAGTCCCTTCTTCTCCCATATTAACTCCTGTCCTAGAAATAATCATGTTTACTCTTAGATGATTCTTTTGCCAATAATTTGTTACTTTTTTTTTATGTATTATTATATTATAAAAAGTAAAGATTTAGCTTTTCTTCTGGCAACCTGACCACACAACCCAAATCCCCTTTCTAACTTTCCAACAGTTTTCGGTTAAGTCACTATTCACAATTACATTATTATAAAATGTAAAGTTTTTTTAAACACTTTCTCTTCCAGCCATAACAGACTAGAGAAACCAGCATAAACAACTAAAAACTAGACAAAATACATGAAATGACTGTTTTCAGGCACTGAACAAGAGTCAGCGAACACCAGGACTGTGATCTCTGACAGAAAAGAAAAAGATGAAATCCAAGGCAGCTGCCACAGCTTTTTGCTCTTCTAGCTTACTTAGTGGACTCCTCAGCAATGCCCTACAATCACAGTGAACAAATGGGACAGAATGCAGCAGATAGACAAATCTGAAGATACTGAAGCAACAGAAATTTATAGGATAAAGTGCCATAAAGAGGAAATTATTCCAAAATGAATTTCAGAACTCTAATAGAGGAATCTCATGGTAGCTTTTTTCCACAGACACTTCTACCACAAAGATATCTGAGAGAATCAATATATTCACTGGGTTGTCTGAAAAATTATAATGTATTTTTTCCTATCTCTTCCAAGCAAAAATGTGTCATTTTTAAAAAAAGATTTGTTTATTTTTGCATACAGAGGTGGGGTACAGGCCAGAGGTGCAGGGGCAGTGAGAGGCTTCACCAGAGACAGAGTGGGGAGCAGAAGAGGCAGATCATCGAAGCACACTGCTGAGGGGAACAGCAGGCAGGTTAGGAGAGAGGTCTGCCCGCGCCATGTGGATCAGCCCTGGGGCCAGGGATCGAACTCATACTAAGTGGCTTTAACTTCTTAGTGCTGTGCTTTAACCCGCTGTGTCACCAGGAAGACCCAATGTGTTATTTTTTCCCCCAAAAAACCCAATAAATAATTTGGGATGCAAATAATACCAATCACATATAATGCTTACTTTTTCAGAACACAGATGATGAGGAAACAATTTCTAACTGATTTCAAAGCTATTAAAGCAAGGAAGCCAAATAGGCAGGTTTCAGCTTTAGGTTGAATGTATTTTTTCCAATTTCAAACCATTCTATCTAAGTCCATTATCTCTCTAGTCCTAATCCATTTAAACCATCAGCTTTACTGACTTGGTTAAACTCCTCAGACAAGAAAAAGGGCAACCAGAAAGTTATGTGACTTTACTGAGATTACATAGTTAAAAATAAAACAGCCAAGACTTGACATACTCCTGAGGCAGTATTCTTTCCACTTTTTTATATTTTAAAATATAATGCATATGTGAAAAAATGTTTAACATCACTTGTAATAAGGGAGATGCAAATTAAAACCACAATGAGCAGCCCTCCCTGGTGACTCAGTGGGTTAAAACACAGCACTAAGAAGCTTAAGCCACTTCCGCATGAGTTCGATCCCCGCCTGCCCCGGAGGTGACCACATGGCACAGCAGACCCGCGGCTCCCCTCAGCGGTGTACTTCGTCGATCTGCCTGTTCTGCTTCCCGCTCTGTCTCTGGTGAATCCTCTCACCCTCCGCATCTCTGGCCTGAACCCCAGTTCTACATAAATAAATAAATAAATCTTAAAAAAAAAAAAAAAAACACAATGAGATACATTTCACCCCAGTGAGAATGGCACATCTTCAAACAACTAGCAACAACAATGCTGGCGAGGATGTGGAGAAAAAGGAACTCTCCTGCACTGCTGGTGGGAATGCAAATGAGTACAACCACTATGGAAAACTATTTGGAGGTTCCTCAAACTCCTAAACATGGAGCTTCCCTATGACCCAGCAATCCCAATCCTAAGTATCTCCCCCAAAAGACACAAAAACACTGATTCAAAAGATACCTGCACCCCCGTGTTTATTGCTGCTTTATTCGCAATTGGAAAAACATGGAAACAGCCCAAATGCGCAAAAGTAGATGACTGGATTAAAAAGATGTGGTACATATACACAATGGAATTTTATTCAGCAACCAAAAAAAAAGAAATACATGTCTTTTGCGGTACATGGATGGAGCTGGAAAAGATCATGTTTAGTGAGATAAGCCAGAAAGAAAAGATACCAGATGGTTTCTCTCATAGCAGGAATACAAAGGAACAGACGAGAAAATAATGATAATGATGAACGGCTATATACCAGAGACATTTTGTTGGGGTGGAGTGGGGAATGGGATCAAAAACAGTGGAGGGAAGAAAATACACTGGACTATGGTGATGGCACATGGGTGATCTGGTGATGGGAAACTCAAGGGGATTGCAACTGAGATGGAAAAATGCACAAAAATATGTAAAAACAAACTAATATAATTAAAAAATTTCCAAAAAAAGTGGCTTAATGGGCCAAAAAAAGGAGATATATATATATATATATAATGCATAAAAAGGTAACCTCACCTGAGGTATGTAGAATCTTTGAAAACTAGCATACACATGTGGGGAAACATATATAATGTTATTTGGAAGTATTTACCTTTCTACATGCAGGACAAAGTCCATTTTCATCAGTGCGAATTCGATGCCAACAAAATCGGCAAATCTGGTAGCCACAGGTGCAAGGGAAAAAGTTGATATCATCTATCTCCAAGGGCTCCATGCAAAGAGGACATTCCACAGGGTCTTCCTTCACATCAGGACTGCGAGACATCTTCACGTTTATTAAACAGCAGCAAAAGTTTATAATAATTTAAGGGAGAAGGAAGTTCAGCACTGAGAACTAATACAGAGAGCTTCAAAGACCTACGTGAGAAAAAAGAAATAAAATAAACCATTAACTACTGGACAAAAAGGAAGTATCAGCAATCAAGAATCACACCAATGACTTTGAAAAGGAGTACTACATCAGAATGCAACTCTGACAATTTTTGCACTTCAAATTGAAGGCTTGGTGTTTTTAATTTTTGAATTCAATAGGAAAAAAAGTTTCCTTTTTACTAGATTAAATACTAACTTATCATAGCACTAATCACAGCACATTTAAAAGAATAAAAAATATAAAACAACTTCAGCATTAAAATACATCTTCAACTGTGTTGCCTTTTCCCTAAAAGTTAATGACACTGTCAGATAACTAAAAAAATACAGTATTCTAATACACACACACACACACACACCATTGTAAAATGTTAAAATATACACTACAAACCTAATGAAAAGAGGCCTCAGTTACCTATAACTGCATATTAATATCAAACTTGCTACCACAGAAAATAAATATTAGAGCTGAAAAAAAATTCCATGAAACCTAATTATTTACAGTTAAATATGTATTAATATATCAATGAAAAGTTCTAGGAAATTAAGAAAAAATACAATATTCTTATGGCAATACTACAAAAAAAGTCTAGCCAAAGAGCCAAAAAAAATAGAGAGCAAAATTTTTAATTAAATAATTTTTTTTTTAAATTATAGAGAGCTGAAATTTTTTAGATAACAATTTCAGTCAAAGTAATGGCTGAAAGGTTAGGATGAAGTCATTTTACATCAGAAAAAATGATAGCCTCCAATATATAACTCAATATAATCCATCAAATTACTGGAGGATTTTTCCTATTTTTACTTAATTTGACAAACTAACTCTAAGATTTACAGGAAAGAGTAAATGAATGACAATCACTTTGAAAATTCTAGGAGGAGAAACATGGGGATCTAGCCTATGAGATGCTATAACAGGTATCTCCATAAAAAGAGGAGGTCCCATGTGTCTGGCAGCACCCAATCAGGGCAGACTGAGTAGCCAGGGGAAGCTCCCACACACAGAGGGCAGCAGTAAGAGGGGGCAGCCACTAGGAGGCAGCACTGGAGAGAGCACAAGAAGAGACCATGTAGAAGAGACGCGTGGACACAAGACACTTGCTTCTTGGTTCTGGACTAGCACCGGGAACTGAGGAGACTCGGAGGAGACGTGGCTGAGAGACAAGTGGGATGCCCAGCAATGGACGCTGTTACTCTGATGTGAAATTTGATTTTGCTCCTCTTGTCCCAAACTCCTTCTCCCTTTCGCCTCCTTTCTTTGGTTCCCAACCAGAAAGTACCTTAGACTTGTGGCAACCTTGCAGGCTTCAGCAGTCCCACTTCAGGCCACTCCCATACCCACAAGGGGGTAGGTACCTTTGGGTATGTCCCTGAGGAGCTATCATCTTTCCTCTTTATGCACACTAACCCACTGAAGTTCCTTCACACCAGGTGTGTTTTGTCCTTGTGCACAGATGGCCAGACCCTTTTACAGAAGAAAGTTTTGGGGCCCCAGGGTACCCCTTAGTCTGCCCACCAACACTACTGGAATGTATTACAAAGCTACAGTAATTTAAATAATTTGCGGTAAATATAAAAATAGGTTAAAGATTAAAGAAGCTAAATTTTTTAATCTAGAAAGAGATTCATGAATTTATAAGATGTTAGTATTTGGTGAAACATTACAAATCAATAAGATATGACTAATTTATGGGCATTTACAGGATACTGGAGTTATCTACTTTAAGAAAAAAGAGGTGTATTACCATGAAATAACTTTAATAGGAAAAAAAATTCAAAAATAACAAGAAAAAACCATGTATGTCTCACATTCAATCAAAATAAATCCCAAATGATCTGTCTAGAGAGCTATACATTGAGATAAACTATTGAACTGGTGGAGAAAAACAGATTTTTTTTTTTAAATCTTGGAATACAGAAGATCCCAAGCAGAAACAGAAACTGAGAAAGTCTTAAAAGAAAGAAAAGATTGAGTTAGCATTGGGGAAAGAACAAAATTAGAGGCAAGCAGCAAAATAAGAGATATTTATAGATATATAGTAGTACAGTATGTCCAGAATATGTATGTAAAAACAAAACAATTCAAAAAGGCAACTAATTCAAATGAAAAACAGACTATGAATAGTTAACAGAAGAATTGCAAATGATTACAACAGAAGATGACCAACCTTTACTTAGTAAATAAATACTTTTCCCATTAGTCAAAGCACCTAGTCTACCTACAAAGGAGATAGGGAAAAACACTAAATGATAAGATAAAATCTACATTTCTCTTCACAAAGAAGAAATGGGATCACAAAAACTACCCTGCCTCAAGTTTCACAACTGCAAAATGGTGCAGCCTTGATTCACCACAAGAAGTCACCACTACTTCATGCCACCTACACGAGTCTATCCTGCATAGATACACTCAATCATCTCACTCTCAAGTACTTTGCTAAATGCTCACAGAACTGCTCAGGAGTGTAGAAAACTGCTAACAAAGTGCCCACTAGTTAGGAAATCATAAATTATGATAGTTATTAGGTCTCTCTGTGTGTTTCTTTAGATATCATATTTTTAATTTTTAAAAGCAAGATGTAAACAAACACTGATTTACAATTACTATTACATAAATACATAAACCATACATAATATTCCTCTAGGAAAATAAGGCACATTAAAATTTACACATCAAAATGTTCTATCACAAAAGGCAAAATGAATATAAGAGGAAACAACTAATTTTATTTTAAAAAATATGTATTACCTAACCTGTTGGAACATATTTTTGTAATCCATATGACTAAATCTTTTTTGAAAAAAGGAGATATTATTTTCATCTTGTTGAGGTTTTGCTTTTTGATTGCTTCTTTTAATAATAATAATGATTTAAAAAAAAAAAAAGGTCTTCAGGGGTAATTACCTTCTAGCTTAAAGGGAAGAGCACAGACAAACAGCAAGTAGTCCCTTAATACAAAAAGCAAATGCATTTTGTGCACTTTTAGCACCATGGAGAGAAACCAGGCAAGCCAGCTGTCAAATGTAATCAAACAACTAGTAAAATGTAGAAGGAAAGACTAAGGGGTAGAACACTGAAATAACAGGTAGGAGAACTGACTTCTGCCTCATTTCTTCTACCAAGGACACACGTAATCTTGAATAAGTCACTCAAAAGGTCAAGAATGCATTTCACTTGTCTGAAAAATGTGACAACACAAATTTAACAGTATTTCATGGACCCAGAAATTTCCTTTATATAACCCACAGAACAAAGTTTTTAAAATGTTTTGAAATAGACCCTCCCTGGTGGCGCAGCGGGTTAAAGCACAGCACTAAGAAGCTTAAGCCACTTCCGCATGAGTTCGATCCCCGCCTGCCAAGAGGAGATCCACATAGCGAGGCAGACCTCTCCTGACCCGCCCTCTGCTCCCCTCAGCAGTGTACTTCGGCAATCTGCCTGTTCTGCTCCCCATTCTGTCCCTGGTGAATCCTCTCACCCTCCGCATCTCTGACCTGTACCCCAGTTCTGTATGAATAAATAAATAAATCTTAAAAAAAAAAGTTTGAAATAAATTATCTCCTCTCCAAACACCCTCATTCAAATTTTCATTCTTAGATGAATAATTTTATTTCATAAGCCAGTCAACTAATACTAAATAAAAGTGAAACAGAATGTACTGGAACAATAAAGTTTACAACACTTTTAAGGCTTTTACAAACCTTTAGGGTTTATAAGTACAGAAATAAAAGGTGTTTTTAAATGAAAAAGTAAGGTCCATACTTTCTAGATAGGCTGGGGGGTGGGGGGGTCCTTAAGACAGAGTCGATTGGTTTTTGATTCAATAATTCATTTTGCCCCCCAAAAAGTTGATTTTCATATAAGTTACCTAGTTCTCAATGACTTAGTTAAGAACATATTATATCCCCTCTATTAAAGATGAAATTGAGGCTCAACAGTGACCCAGTCTTTAAATATTAGATATATTCAAAAATAAAATTTCCAACTTCAAAATCCATGCCCTTTCCAAGAAATCACAGCTGTATATCCTTGGCATATGGGTACAAATGTCTGAAAAGTATAAATACTACTACTATTTTCCCAAAATTTCTACAGGAAATGGCTCTTTATCTGAGATTTTTTTTCTCTGTATCACCTACAACTAATACAACATAGAATAAAATCTGACATGCACAATAACATTCCTAAACCACCCCAAATCTCACACACCAGGCACAAAAGTAAAATCATATAGAGTCAATACAAAGGTAGAAGTTCCTCATCAACCTTTAAAATGCTGCATGCATGCCTGTTTCTAAAACCTAATCAAAAGATTTACATAAAAATATATTATAAAATATAAAGCACTACAGTGACAGTGGAAGTTTGATGGTTCCTCAAAAAGTTAAACATAGAATTCATACATAATCCAGCCCACTCCTATTTAAATACCCAGAGTTGAAAGACTTTAAACAGACGCTTTGTACACAGTGTTCACAGCATTAATCACCACAGTCAAAATGGAAATAGATGAAATGCTAATTTGGACAAAGCCAAAGCAGATGAATTGCTAAACAAAGTAAGTATATACATACAGTAGGATACTTTTCAGCCATTAAAGGAATGAAAGTTGATACATTATTTTTTTTGTTTGCCAATCTCATTGCTGAATTTGTGATTAAGTTATATGTGTGTATATGATGCAACTCTACTCAACAATACATAGAAATCACAATCTTGAATATACCACATGACCAAAATTATACACTATGTTGGAAAGCTGTTTACAGATATGAAATACACACTTACTTTGCTATTTGAAACAGCATTTTAAGCCTCCATAAAAACCACACATTCAAGACCCTCCCTGGTGGCACATCGGGTTAAAGTACAGCACTGAGAAGCTAAAGCCACTTCCGCATGAGTTCGATTCCCGCCTGCCCCGGAGGTGACCACATGGCCCAGCAGACCTCTCCTGACCCACCCGCTGCTCCCCTCAGCAGTG